GGGTTTGAGTACGACCGCAACGGAAGAGTCAACATTCTCCGTTCACCCTTCTTTGACGTGGGATTCGACTTCGACGACACCCCGGAAGAGTACTTGGACCGGATCTTGCCAACTCTTGTGGACTCGATAGACGATCACTTCTCCGTCTATACGTGGATCATCAAAGGCCGTCCATCCGCTCCTTCGAACCCGACTTCCAACCCGGCGACAAGTCCTCTCAAGATCACTTGTGTACTAGTGGCGTCGCTAAGTCTGCTCACGATTCTTTTCTGCTAACCTCCACCTCAAATTGAGTGACGGATCCTAAGGTGAAGGGTCTAAATTTTAAATTTGGGGCTTTGGTATTTTAGCTATTTGCAACACTTGATATTTTAGATGATGTTTTGAAAAGCTTTCCAATCTTGTATGGTAATTTCTTGTTGTTACTTAATCATTCATATTTTAATTCTTGAATCTTAATTGAATACGCATAAAAGTTTTAATAGCAATCTTGGTTCAAGATCTTATTTAATTTCAAGTGCAATTCTCAAATCATCACATGATAGTTTCACATCATATTCCCTCATTTATCTCAATGCTTTCCCTTCACAAACCTACTCAACATAGATAATAAATAGTGATATAACCCAGCAATCATCATTAGAGCTGCAAACTTGGTCCCCAGCCCATTTGATATTCCCTCATATCAGTTCCTCCACAAACCTATTAAACCTTAACAATAAATAGTTCTAAGGCCTAGCAATAATCAATAGAGATAGAAACTTGTCCCCAGCCCATTAACCCACCTCATTCTGTACCTATTAGGGTGCTCATGGCACATTTTCTCGACATAGAGTCCGATCAATCTTTGAAAGCATGACCCTAACACTAAATATATAAAATAATCTGAACTTTAGTAGTATAATTATGATTTGATGACGTTTGATTTAAAAAAGCTTTCCTTCAACCCACTCCACCTAGGTAATCGTACATGGGAATGTAAATTGAAGAAACAGTAACGGATACATTGGAAACAGAGGAGTAAGAAGACAAAGCCGTAGGTATTTCCTTGTATTTCATAGAGAGGCAAATTACAGAACCGCACATAGCATTCTAAAGTGTAACTGTTTTATACTGAAGTTAATTACACAAGGATTCATTGGTTAAAATGTAACTAGTATGCACCAAAAAGTCCCAATTTTTCAATATTTTGGTAAACATTTAAACGTGTCTCCTATTGGATAAGGTTCAATATAGAAGTTTTCGGGTTAAAACATTCATGTATTGTACACAAAATTAGAATAATTGTGAGTAGCCTGATGTGAAATCTCTTATATGGATAAATTTTATCCAATTTAGAATTCATAGCTTCATCAAACAAGAGATTGATTTCCGTACCCTAATATTTTCATAGTAAAAGAACCCAATCATAAAATTGGGACATACAGCTTTAGGTAATCAATAGCCATTGAAAACAAACTTACATTTCCAGACACTCTAAGATTCAACATTGAGATCTGACAATCACCAGGATCACCAGAGTACACAGAAAATAGGCTATCTCCATCTGGGTGCCATGCAATATCTTCCGGCCATCTCCTGTGTTTAGGAGAGAGGCAATCTGTACTACTAAGCAAATTAGCGCTTGGCCTGCAATATGATAGAATAATGTTTAGTTAGAAATGTAACACTAACTTTATGATTCTTGTCTTTTTCAGTGTTGTGCCTCAATATTTGTCCATTATTTTCTCTAATTTTTGCTCGAACCTAAAGCTGCATCAATGTCTCTCTGATGGGGACATCAGCAGCAATTTCGACACATGTACCTTCAGGAGATGCCGGAAATCGACGACCACGATCATGATTTGTTTTTTTCATCATTTTATGTAGTAATTTATTTTTATTTTATGTTTTTTCCATTTTTACCCTTATGGGTATTTGGTAGCTATTGTAGCCCAAGGGGCATTGTAGTACTTTACTTTTTTTGTCATTTTGAGGCCTATTTATATGGCCCTTTTCTCATGTAAGAGTTAGTTTTTTATGAATGAAAATTTTGACATTTCATGTTCTCTTTGTGAGTGCAAAACCTCCACGATCTCTTAGTGAGTTCATAGGAGAAGCTAGATCTCTTTGTGAGTTCTAGGTTCTATTGTTCTTCCATTTCTCTTCTTTGAAATTTCTTGATCTCGTCGTCATCACGGTGGTTCGGGTGAAAGCATTTGTGGAGATTGGAATTCACTCTTTGGATCCCTAGATTCTCCCTACTTCTTCCCCTCCCTTGCTCTTTGCCGCCGCCCCCTCCCCTTGAGCCGCCCAGGCCGCCGGCCTGCAAACCCCACCAGCCGGCCAGCAGCCAGCCAACAGCCAGCCGGCCACCCCTTGGACCCCCATGCCGCCGGCCCCCTCTAGTTCCACCATTTGAATTTTGAATTCCCCTCTCTTAACCTCTGTCCTGACGTTTGGCTTGCTGCCTCCTTACGCCAGCAGGAATATCTTGCTGTCCAGCACACTGGACGACCACAATTTGATGTCCCGAGTTTCCAGCAGCCTAGAAGAGCCGTCCAACGTCTCTTGCACCTTAAAGGTTGCTGTCCAAGATCTGTCCAAGACCAAACTGCTGCTGTCCAGAGGAATTCGGCATCTCTTCCTGCTGTCCAGCCAATTGGGAGAGCTTCGGATGCTGTCCTAAAGTTTCCGATTGCTGTCCACCACATCAAGTAGGGTTTTGGTTGCCGTCTACTTCATCTCAAGCATTCAAACAGCCACTAAAGCTTCATGTCTTCTATTTCTTTGGGTAAACTCATCATCTGACCCTTTTATCTTTGTAGTTACTTCTCTATTGTTGTGATATCTTGATTCATGGAAATCATGCTAATCTTCTCCGCTAAAACCTAGTAATTGGATGAGTTGTGTGAGGGATCTTCTCAGAACAACTAATCTTATTGTTAGTTTAGGGATATTTGAGGAAAACCATTCATGTACGCAACGTTAGATTGACTTGATTGTTATAGGATCTTAACTCTTACCCGTGTGATTCAACTGTAAGCTCGTTTTTCCGTTCTTAACGTTTTATCTCGTCGTTCAAATTATTATAAAGATATAATTATTTGTTCTATCTAAAATTAAGCGTGCAAGCTTTCATTACGAAACCCATCATCGCATGTACGTTTCACATCACTCCCTCTCAACCTTTATCGTGTACTTAGCTTTCATCCCTCACATACTAAGAACCCAAATAAACACCGGCCAATCTCTAGATCAAATTTATAGTCAGCATGCCAAAATTGTAGAAATAATAAAGCCAACACATTTCAAAGATAAAAGCATACTCAAGGAATGATACTTTCGAGATATCTATGTTAAATAAGCCAATTTTCATGAACATAATTTTCTTAAACCCTATATCAATATTTAAACTCTTCCTTTCAAGACGGGAATCGCATTTATTAATAAAATTTAAGGTTGATATCAATGACAAATAGGGCATTATTTGCACGTTATAATTTTGATAAAAGATATATCAAGTCCAATTCGCAGGAAAATATAGAAGATGATCATTTAAGGAAAATCATTATCCATACCAGAATCAGTGGCTAGGCATGGGAGGACCTTTAAAACTAATAAATATGCCTTTCAGTATAATGAATAGGCACATATGTTATGCAAACAATAGTCGTAGATCTGAAGCAAGTTTTTTTATCCATCCTACATTCAAAATGCTGAAACTGGACTTTTAAAAAAATTTATGTGTTTATAGTACTGTATACCAACATGACTCCTGTTATTTGTTTTCCAAAATCCAACAAAAAAACATTATATGGATAATGTTGAAGTAGCATGAAGAAACTAAATTACAATATGAATTAAAGGTTTAAAAAATAATTTATTAGTAACAATCTGTTGTAGTTGCTTCTTAAATGCCAACAGAGCACTTTCCTAACGCATAGATTTATCCTGATTCCTAGTCATTCTAGATGGGCACAAAAGAAGCAATTATGAGAAGTATAAACAGTCAAATATTACAAGTAGCCAGCTTCCTTTCGCCATGAAATAAATAAAATAAATTCCAGTTGAAACAATCTGAAACAGTATATGCATTAAGAAGCCTACCCTTTAGCCTGAACTTGCCATAGATTTACCACACCATCAAGCGCACTGCAAATTCATAAGAAATAACCAAACTGTAAACAAAAACACAATGGAAATTTAAAATTTAACTAAGTTAAAGAACATGATTGATTTTATATTTTATAGAATAATGTCAAAATGCAAGCAGAGTCATGGCGTCTAAGGACTACAGGTATGTGGTTCAAAAATAATCTTGCAAGACAGCCTAATAACTATTTTAATATTGCCAAACAAAAATATTTGGCAACAAGTTCAACCTCATGTCACGGAAAATAAAAAGTAAACAGTAAGAACTGCAAAGTTATTTTATGATGCCTATCAGCTGGACACCAGTAAAAGAAGTATAATTTACAAGAGGATTAGGAGCATCAGTAATATAGCTGCTAAGGGTAACTGTTACTTTTCTCATTAGACACAATATTCTACAATAAATGCCCAAAAAAGAAATATGTGGTAAATTTAGATAAACAAAAGGCTCAGCTGCAGCTGTAATGTTGTAATCCCGAGGCATACCACCTAGAAGTAATTATAACTTAAATTGATATTGATTGATACCTTATAATTGGCAAAAATATTGAATTAGTTCACAAGAAAGCAAGTTTGGAGCAAAGTTAATCAGATTTTCTAGGGCATACCCAATTAGTGCCTGTAGTGGCCACAAGTTTGAACATCAAAAATAACTTCTCAGCAATACAGGGTAACGTCGCATGCCTCAAAAACTACCAAGACTCTCTATTTGCGAGGATCCATGCACTTTGTTGTCCTTTATGTGCACCTCCTCTCCCTAAATGCTGCTGAGTGCAGCCACTACAAGCACTTATTGGGTTTGTTCTAGCTAGTCATTGAGCCAGCTATCATCTTCGTTTCATTAGCTTCTATTTCTTCTTATCATCTTAGTTTCCTTTCTATTGTTATTTTTTATTGCAGCTGTTGGAATCATTCATTATGATTTATATTGAAAAGACATTGTTGTCCTCCTTTTTTTGTGCACTCTGTGAAGCTGTTAGAAATGTCATCATCATTGTCATTAACGAGACATTGTTGTCCTCTATTTTCATGCACTCTCTAAAACCTTACTCTTATGTCACTATTTAGGCATGTGAAGCATTATATTTCTCTAATGCATAGATTCGCTTATGCTAGAACCATCGAATTAAGGTGGAATAATTAACATATTGACTTTATTTCACTAATTATTATGTTTTTTGACATAAAATTTCTCGCAATTGTAACTCAATAAATGTGTATGTGTAAGCAAGATTGTTTTGGAATAAATGTTAATTAGGTCTTGAAGCTGGTACTTGTCTGGCATTATTTCTTTGGATCCCAAAGGAGTGTTGGAATAGAGTAGAATGTCTCGAGGTAGTAGCCAATTTTTATTACATGATAAAAATATCTTTTTTTATTGGGGGCATTATACTTGGCTTTTGTTATAGATTTGCTCACGGTAGTTAATAGATAGTCAGTCATATCATATAATTCATTGAAATATTTATGATCATATTGATAGTAGATGTTAAGCTTGTTAAGTTACCTTGTTAATTGATGCACAAATTAAAATTTCTCTTAAAAAGAATGATAAGACAGCAGAACTTATTTTAATTGTGTACTACCTTTGGTTGAAATGAATTAAACCTTGCTCAGACAAACTGTTGACATGGAATAAAATTTGCTCATGTTATTTATAAATCCTTTATTATGGCACAATGCTCTTGATATGCATATGATATATATTTGCATAATTGGTGAATGTGAACATTGGTAGTACTCTCTTGTTGATTCGGTTGGCTAACCAGGTAGATGGGTCCATAGAGTAACAATTTTCACGTAATTAGGCTCCACTAAATGAGTGAAATCTTCCCCATTTTTAAGGTGAAATGAGAAACTGACTATGCATATAATATCTTATACTAACAACCTGATGAGTTATTTGTGAATATACAAATATGCATGATGTGGTTATACATGATTATGTTAGCATATAAGCATTGGTTACTATTTTTTATAAGAAGGATTATAAAGATCAACATCATTAAAGAATAGTTTATATCTTTATCATCCATACCATATAACATTATTTTAAAATGATATAATCATAACATTTATTATAATATTATTTATTGATATTCATGCCAATTCCTTTAATAATACCAATGTCCTTTGTATGTCATTTATACTTTAATAAATCAAAGTTATCTATTGTGTTTGCGTGAAAATTTCAATTTTACTTAATTTTCTCTTTTACATATCTAACTAAGTTGATTGATGGACAGTCATCACAAGAGTAAATTCATCAACACAAATTATTATATGGGTTTGTTTATTCCTTTGGCATTAGTTCTTTGTTTAGACATTTTTGTTAGATATTGCTCTAGTTTAGCTAAAGTAGTTGACCCATTTGTTTTTATTAGTTTAATGTTTGAGTTTTCCCTTGATGATAGATGTTTAGAATATCCATTGATTTCATAAAACTTCATTTCTTACATCACATGATTACATATCTATCTTTACATATTTTATACGTATTAATTAGTTTCTCTTCAATACAAATATTGCTTTATTTGACCTTACCTCATACAGATTATCTCACTAGCTAAGATTAAATCCCTTCATCATGTCCCGCATTGCCTAGGGGTATTGCATTTTTTTAATAAAATTTTATCATCATATTGATAATAATTGAATCTACATAGTATAAATGCAATTTAATAGGTTTAAGTGATCAAATTGTTTTGATGAAAATTTCAAGGTCAAGCATCTGGATCACTTTGAGTACCAAATGCAACAGAAGCAATTGATAGCAAGGAACACAAGATAATTGAAAACACATTAAAAACTGCACATCATCGCTCAAACAGCATATGTTATCTGAGGATTCAATCAAGACGTTTCGCAAATGTCAGCTACGTCTCAGGCACGCTTCACTTAATGAAAATTCTTTGCAAATGGTGTTCATGGTCAGTGAATCATAAGAGGTTCGATCAAAGAATATAGGTTATCTGAAGCAATAACTTGTTATAAAGCTTGAAACAAGTAATTATTCCGAAAAAAGATGCACCGATAAAGATATGCCTTATGTGATCAACCCTACCTCGTTACCAATAATTGATCATCAACTGGACTGAGCACAAGAGTTCTCAGCTTCCTCTTATGCTGGCTATGAATGTAAGTGCCTGGATGGAATGGAATCGTATTCGGTGAAGAACTCTTTCGTACACTGGGGATCAAGTCCTGATGCTCTTTCTCAACTGCACCAAGATATTAATAAAGAAGTATTTGATTCATTATCTTCTCCTTTGTTAACATTGACCAAATTCTCATGACGAAAGAATAGATAACTTTTCATCTATAAAAGATCAAATTTACCAAGATTCCTCTTTTCTGAGCTGCGAACCGTCGACGTTTCCCGCTTCGATTTCTCCGGAGCCTCATGTGTGGGCTTATTGCGAGGCACTGCCGAAGGGGGAGGAGCTTTGGTTGTGGATAACTTGGAGTTTATCGAGGGAATAATAAGCGGCGGTCTAGACGAATGGCTTTGGGCTCTGGGCTCCGGACGGGCTTCCACTCCATTGACAGGAGGGAAACTTTCCACCCTCGATCGCCTGCTACCGGCAGGTCCAGATGGGACCCGTAGTCGGGCCAGCTGCAACTGCGACTCCTGCAATTTCCTCTTCGCGGTCTCAGCCTGCATTTACGAAATGAAATCAAGCCAAGAGGAAAGAAAACGGAACATTGCAATCTACAATTGAATCCCCATCGATCGAAGCGCTGTGCCTGACCTGGGATTGGTAATAGGATGCTTTCTGGCCGAGCAGCTCAACCTCTTTGGAGCGGTGCTCAATAAGAGCAATCAGCGCCTCCTCCTGCTCCTCAATGGAGTTCCCCAGGGGGTCTTCCCCTCCGTCGCTTTCCGATGGTTCAGTAGCGCCGTTGTCCTCCAGCTTTATCTTCTTCGGAAGAGGATGGAGAGCCATGGCCAATACTTCTGCCTCTTCGTCTTATCCCACGCAATTCTTATTCCAATAATTCAAGGACAGAAGAGAGTTCGCCGTTCTATAGTTTCAAAGACAGAAAGAAGTCGCACCGCCTTCCATTAGCGCTGATGGATGTCTTGGACTCCGGCGTTTACGGGAAGGTGTAGAACCAATGGTAGTTTGAACGGGAAAACAGAAGCTTTTGCCCATCGCGTTATGTTCTTCTCCGTGGAGCTGTAAATTGATTTAGGGGTTATTTGATTATAAAGAAGAGTAGGAACTTTTATTATATCCAGTCAACATATGCAGAGAAATGTTCAGTTTTAGACAAAAAAAGTACCTGTACCGAGTATCGAGGTGTACCGTGTTTTTTCAAAAAACTCGGTACAGGCACTTTTTTGCCTAAAACCGAACGTTCCTCTGCGTACGTTCACTGGATAAAATAAAAGTTCAAAGAGTAGAGGCTGAACTAACAAATATATTCTCAAGAGAGTTCAATGAACGTGAGGATTGATCATAGAGGCAAAATTGACCAATGTATTGTTAAGATACCAATGCCTCCAAAATTTATGCTGTAGAACTAGAAAAATCACATCTACATTTCTGCAATCCATAAACTATAAGATGTGGCAGTTAATTCAAGCTAGATATTGGCCATCTTATCAGATATTAAATGGCAAAAAAGTTTAAATGCCTTTCACTAGAAGAAAGGGAGTATGCACAATAACTATAAAATGTCTAAGTTGTTTCTTTTATGCACTTAAACATGAGGGTACATTAGGCTCAGGAGATCCAATAGAATGTTGGTATTTTTATGAGGTTTATAACAGTGGTTGAGGAGTTATGATACCTTAAATTGGACTTAGGGCTGTCAAAATCTAACACGACCCGAAACCCAGTCCGAACCCAACCAAAAAATGTATAGGTTTGGGTCAACTCAAATGTTATATGGGTCAAGTTCAGGTTTATAATTCCAACTCGTTTGTAAAACCATGTCTGATTTTGGTTGACCTGAAAACCCGAAACCAACCCGTATTGACCCATTATCATCATCATGCGCGAGACAGGTCACTTGGTCTCGTCATGTTACGTCACCGCATCAGACATCAGGCATTTTGTTTGAGTTGTCTCCTGTCGTGTCACCCCCACTGTAGCGTCGTTGTCATCATCTGTCCCGCCCGTGCTGTCGCTACTGCCTTTTGTTCTGCCCACGCTACTGCTTACATCATCCATCTCACCTGCGACCCCACTCTAGCTCCTATAGTGCAGTCAAGAGTCGAGACCCAATCAACGGACCCACGTTGGCTCCGCAGCTTACGCTCTGCATGTCGAGTCATGTTATTTCTACTCTTGCTGGTCGGGTCAACCCAATAACCAGCCAGGGTCAGGTCCGGGTTGACAAACTTGGCCCATTTGCAAAACTGGGTCGGGATAGGGTAAGCCCCTTTTTTGCTAGGTCAAGTCATGTTCGACCCGAACCCAACCTATGGACCTGAATTGACATCCCTACTCATTGTAGAAAATTATCTATCGATATTGATATTTTGGCTATAGTATTTTATAAGCATTGGAGATTTGAGGCCTTGAAACATTATGAGAGAATGTTTGGGAGAGTTTATAATAGGTTTTATGGGTTTTTGGTGAATGTTTGTGAGGGTTGTTAACCCTATAGAAATAGTCCCGAGGCTAATCAAGAGGAGGATGAATTAGTGATTTAAAAACTTCTTTAATCACAAAGAAAAATCCCCCTTTTAAAGTTTTTTCAATATATGAATACATATAATTTTATCTCTTGATGTGGAAGCAAAGTGAGTTCATAATAACAAAAAATAAGATATTTTCAACCAAAAAACACAAGAATAAGTGTGGAAAATAAAGTGCAACAAAATAAAATCAAGAATAAACACACTGGACTTTATAGAAGTTTGGTCAATCTGACCTACGTCCACTCCCCATAACCTCCAGTTCTATGTATTGCACTAAACCTTTAGTGATTATCCTTTTATCCCAACAGTTAGGCAAGGAAGCCCTTATCAAATCTCTTTCACCAATACGGTGTGGTAGAGGACTAAAACTCCTTTCACAGGTAGAGAACCTTGACTCCTTTTTCTCCTGCTAGGAGATGGCAAAGAACCACGAATCTCTTTCACCTTCGCAAGTGCGGCGAACTAGTCGGGTCCTTTGACACCAAAGAGATCTTATTCTTTCCAAATTTTTTCTTAAGATAAATCTTGAATACGACGGTACTAAGATGCACGCTTGTCGAAGAAATTGTGTGAAACCCCTCCACACTCTCTTGAAACCCATAAGGATCTTCTCTCTCTTAAACTCCACCCTTTCTTCTCTCCCTTTTAAGGCTCTCTCTTCAAGTTTTCTTTAGAAGAACATAAACACGATACATACCAAAGACAATTGCAATGTCTTTGGACAAAGCTTAAATATAGGGCTTTAAAAACCCTAAGAAAATCAATTTTTTCATCAAAGATCGTCTAGTACGATCCTATACGATCATCCTATACTATTATTTTAAAATAGCTCTTTTTGATAGTACGAACTGCATTGTCCTATACAACCAGTTCAAGAGTTTGTACTGATCATCTAAGATGATTAGCTGACAAAATTATGATTTTTTTTCTTATACGATTGGGTGTTCATCCCATGTATCCTCTCTATCGTCTAGTATGATCATCACAGATCATCATGTACGATAAGAATGACCAAATTAATCATAATTAGTCACCTAATTGCATAATTAATTTAGAAATGATTGTCATAGATCTTCCAGTACGATGTATATCATCTTAGATGATTAGAAAAAAATTGAATTTTAAAATCTTACATAAATTATGATTGTCGGCTATTTTTCATGATTATAAATTATCATCCTGGATGATCTAAATCGTCCAGTATAATTAGTTAGAAGAGTTGATTGTATAGTATGATATAAATCGTATAGTATGATATAAATCGTATAGTATGATGAGTTCAAAATTTGAACTTCAGATTTTGACTCAATATCTCTCCTTATGAGTGAGTGTGTGTGTGTGTGTGCATGATCACTAATCTAGCATATACCCTTACAAGACTTAACTCAAGTAATCAAAAATACGTCAATGAATATTATAAAAAACTTTTCAGCATAACCAATTCTAGTTAATCATGAGCATTGAATATTGAGTGGATGGTACGTGGTGTTACTAAAATATTAGTACACGCACAAACACATATATATTACAAATACAATTAGACATAAATATGTGAGCCACAATATTTTTTGTCATCAAAAATATAAACTCATGAGCTCAAGTTACAATAATCTTCCTCGTTTTAATGATAGTAAATATTACAAGTTGAATTTACAAATTTAAAAATATTTTCTCCTAATCTCTCCTTTATTAAGATAATTATATTAGACAAGGGGAAATCAAAAAGTATTTTTTAATAAAAACAAAAATATTTAAAAACAACATGATGAACAAATGCAACTTAAAACACAAATACAATTAGTCAAATAAATTCTCCCTTTAATATTATCAAAAAGAAGAAGAACAAAGAATAAATAAAATGGAACACACATAAAAAAACTAAAGATCATACTGACCCTGATTAGGTGCATGTAAGTGGTAGTGATGTTTAAGAAGAATCAATTAATTTCAGCAAAATTTCTTAGAATGAGAAAATTATCTCTTAATTTTATTCAAAAGCTTAATAAGAAATTAATTGATTGCACTAATATCCAAAAAAGTTAGAAATTTGAATTTTATTAAACCTAGCTCGGGCTCCTTACAGGTTAAAGTCCTTTTTAAATAAAAATCTACTTCATAAAATAAATTAGAAAGGAAATATGATCTTTTCAAACTTCATTTTAGAAATATATCTTAAGAGAATAGCATTACAAATTGATGAACCGGAAATCATGATTCTCAAATTCAAGTGTAGATGATATTAATTATACATAGATTTGTCTAAGATTTAAAGACTTGACAGGAATAGAATCTAACTTATTATAGGGTTCATTTTATACATCTTTATCAATTTTTGACACACTTTATGCATCTTTTGATTTTTAATACACTTTGTGTATCTTGCAATTCATTTGATAAATAATGCAAATATTTTTAGTTTGAACTCATTTTGTGCCTCTTTTTGGCTTTTGCAAACTTATTTTCTTCTTAAATCTTTAAAGATTCTCAGTTATGAGATTATCTTTCAAATATAAAAAAAGAGGAACTCACTCTCTTTTATAGGGAAGAGCAGACCATAAACAATAATGTGATCCATTTGATATAAACAAATAACTTGAATACCAAAAATTTGAAATAAATTCATTGATTTGCAAAAATATTAAAATGAGATAAAAAACTATAGGAAGATAAAATATATCTATTTTTTATCCAATTTTTAAATTGAAATATATTTTGATTCAAAAAGAAGTTTCACCATGGAAGGAGTTAGAGGAAGAGGGATAGTCATCAATTTCTCTTCCTTTACTTGTTTAGAGAAGTCAGTAATAACTTACCAAAAATTTCAAGTTTGAAAGGAGGTATATTTTTCATTTTAAGAAAAATGTTATTAGAGATCAGAAGTGATCTGATTCTCTTAATTAAATATAATATGAAATATAATTTGTTTGTTAATCAGAGAGTGTTATAAAAAACACACATGAAAAATAAAATAAAACATTAGAAATATATATCTTACTGTAAAATAATATAACTAAAATAACATAGAAAATAAAAAACATTCACGATGAAAAAAAATAAAACTAGTGCATACATGCGTGTATTACTTATAAAACAGATAAACACACAAACACAATATTATACATCATTATCTTGTTCCTAGTCTGATGATTCAGAAGCTAGGTTTGCCTATAATTTCTTTTATTTTTTCTCATTTGCCCTTATTACAATTAGCATAATTTTACCTTTTTCTTTTACAAGAAAAGTTTTTAAATTAGGGCACAGATTTTTAATATGTCATGACTTCCTTCACCTAAAATAAATAACATCAGAGGAAATCTTAGCATTCTTACCATTTTTATATTTATTCTACTTTTGTTAATACTTATGCTTATGCTCAAGTAAACTTTCTAATTTGTTTGTTATTGATACTAACTCCTCACTCTCATCATCTACTAAGCCACTTCTATCCATGTCCTTATCTTTTAGCATTATAGTTTCACATGCATCCAAAAGCTTTGAACTCACATTTTGCTTGTGCGCAATGAGTGACCCAATCAGATTATCAATAGAATAATCATTCAAGTC